ACAATAGTTTGGAAAACCCAATGTGAGTGAATGTGAAAAATAAGTTGATCCAGCATTTTATTTTTATTTTGTCTTCTTTATTTTTCTGTCAAAGTCTGTCTTGCTAAAGGTGCAGTGGAACAAGGAGAGGTGGTTACAGATGAGTGTGAAAAGGTTTGTCCCTGGGGTTTACGGGCCATATTCCAGGACAAGTTGGAATCCACCTTTAGAAGTTTAAATTTGGTTTTCAATTTTACTTTAACAAGTCACAACAAGCCTGTTTCTTTCATCTTCATGTTACCCCCGAACCCTTAAGGACTGCAGGTATAAGTTGTGATTCATGTGACGCTTCCTTTCTCTGTTAGGGTCGGAACAATCGCTGAAATTGGTGCAGCCAAATCGTTCAATCTGCCTTTAAGCGATCGTCCGGAGGGACGTTATGTCACTTTGGTTCTACCGGGTTCCAAAAGGATTCTTACACTCTGTGAAGTGGAAGTCTACGGGTACCGTGCCCCAACCTGTGAGAATTTGACTTATTACAAACAAATGTGAACAGTATGCAATTTTTTTTTATCTCATCTATAAACTGTGGCATGAGCCAAAACATAAATCATGATACATTTTTTTGTGCTTTAGGTACATTGACATTAAAGAAACTTTGGTGAGAGCTGTATAATAAATGAGTGTATCCTGCTTTTATCCTCCATCCTACATTAGGACTGATTACATTTATTCAATGAATCATTGCGTCATAAATCATTCAGTCATACATATAGTGGATTTATTAAAACTTAACGATAACTGCAAAGAAGTCAAAGTATTTTTTTCTAACTCTTTTCTTGTTGCAGCGGAGAACCTGGCTCTCCAAGGAAAAGCCACACAGTCGTCATTGTATGGATTAGGTATTGCATATAATGCCATTGATGGGAATCGAGCCAGCAGTTGGAATCAGCCCTCCTGCACTCACACAAACAACGACATAAACCCCTGGTGGCGACTGAGTCTGCCCAAAACCCACAGAGTGTTTTCTGTTAAGGTAACCAACCGAGATGAAGTTGAAGAACGAATCAATGGAGCTGAGATCCGAATTGGAGATTGCCTCGACAACAACGGCAACAACAATCCCAGGTAGCCTACATTAGTCTGTTAATTAATTGCAATACCAATATAATTAAAAGGTCACGGATTTATGTGTCAAGCTCTTTCATATGGAACTGAATAGAAATGTGGTAACTTTTCTTTTTTACATTATCGCCATTATGAAGTGATTTCTTCTTCTTCTTATACCAGATGTGCTGTGATCCCAAGCATCCCAGCAAGTGCTACTGCTGAATTCCAGTGTAACGGGATGGATGGCCGCTATATTAACATTGTTATCCCTGGAAGAAGAGAGTACCTGACCCTGTGTGAGGTGGAGGTGTATGGCTCTGTCCTGGATTAGCTTTAAAATGTACTAAACTTGCTATAATTCAGACAATACCGCATATGTGCTCAAAAAAATCAAAATAACACATTAAGCTATACATTGATTGTTCACATGAAAAATTTTATTTTATTATTGTTCCATGCCTACTACCATAACTGTGTTAGTCTCAGGTGCAACAATCACGTGTGAAATAGGCCTGCTATATTTAGTACATGACAGCAGTAGTGTGTTAACTGATCTGTTTTTATTTCTGTAATTTAAAAAACTATAAACAAATAGTTTGCTAAATATTGACATATATATTTACAGAACAGTTGAGGATCTCTGTTTTGTAAACATTTCAACATTAGAGACATACATAAATGTTTCAGTATTTTAAAAAATGAGGAGCTCGCTGGGATAAGAATAGAATAAACAAATAAAGTTATAAAAGCTCAAACTCTGCTCAGTTTTCTGTATATTAGATACATGCTCCCTGGTATTTACCACATTGGAAGACCTGTTCACATCAGTTTAAAAAATCACAAAGTCACCCAGCCTCACAGTCAAATTATTATTATAAGGGCCCATATTTAAGTATACAATTGAGGAAAAAGTGAGCCATATAAAAAGTATTTTAGTATATTTAATCAAGGCTTGAACCCCTTCGCCAAAGCAGTGCTACAGTTTACATTCAGTCATCATCTCAGCCATTCTATCGCAGCCCTGTTTTACCTATGGCAGATCACATTTCTTCCAAAAGAAAAAAAAAAAGATACTGTATACGTTTTTATTATTAGCTACCTAGTGCAATTATTTATTTTTAATAAATGTTTTTATTCATTAGACAGGCAAAAGCAAGTACAATGGGAAATAATGACTTTTTCTTTTTTTTTTAAATAACAGAAATAGGCAGATCGGGAAATGAGATATGGTGATAAGTTAATTGTCGGAGGTGAGCATTTAATTTGTCCTGTAGTGTTAGCTATGTAATCAATTATACAGCCCCAAACAGAGTCAAATTTTCCAGGTGTCCCCTCAGATTATGCTTAATTTTCTCCAGGTCTAAGTGCAGCATGAGGTCTTTAAGCCACATTGATTTCCATTCCAACAAAATTCTTCTACGTGCTAATAAGGATGCAAAGGCAATGTTATCCTTACATTTACTCCTAATTATTTGAGGATCTGATAATACTACAAAAATTGCCATTTCCGCACATGGTGTCAACTTCATATTTAGATAGATAGATAGATATACTTTATTGATCCCAAGCTGGGAAATTACAGAAGTTATTATTATTATTATTATTATTATTATTATTATTACATTAGTGCCTCAGCAAGATGTTTAAAAATCGCTGTCCAGTAATCTTGCAGGTGGACAAGACCAAAACATGCGTGTCATGTTTGCTGGTGTCATGTGACATCTATTGCATGTATCTGCAATATTGGAATACATTTTGGAGAGTTTGGAATTGGTAAAATAAATATGGTGGACCACCTTGAATTGTATCAGATTAAGCCTGGAGCAAGATTTACTGTTATTTACTCGAAATAATGCAGAGTCCCAGTCATTGTCATCTATAACTCTGCCAATTTCTTCTTCCCAATCTTTTCTGATTTTATCAAGAGATGTCTGACTAATATGGGAGATTAAGGTGTAGATTTTTGAAATAAGGCCTTACTGGTTTGTGGGAAGGTCCAAAACTGAGTCAATTTAGGTGGAATATTGAGGAAAATGCTATGTGATTTAACAAAGTGACGGACCTGGAAATATCGGAATAAGTGAGATTTTGGAAGGATAAATGTTTCACATAGTTCACTGAAGTTAGCAAAGACATTGTAAGTATAGACAAGGCCTGATCTCTGCCATAAAGAAAAAGCTGTATCTGTGCTAGGAGGGTGTTAGTTGCCCAATAATAGAGTCTTAAGTTAGGGAATGACAATCCACCTACGGACCTATGCCTTTGTAAAAACTCTCTCCTTATCCTGAGGGTCTTGCCTTTCCATATAAAAGATGAGATTAGTTTGTTTATAACACGAAAAAAGGAACTGGGTAAAAAGATCTGCAAACATTGAAAAAGATACAGAAAGCGCGGTAGCACGTTCATTTTGTTGCAATTTATCCTGCCTGCTATAGTTATATGCAAGTTATTCCACCTTTCCAGATCTGATTTAAGCTTGTCGATTAGGGGTGGAAAGTTGCTCTCGTAGAGATCTGATATCTTACGGCAGATATGTACACCCATGTACTTAAAGCTGTTTTTAGATATTTTAAATGGGAGATATACATCAGGGATCCCAAGGGCCAAATTATTTACAGGAAAGCATTCACTCTTTGAAAAGTTCACTTTATAACCTGAAAATGTTCCAAATGTATTTAGCAATTCAGTTGTCTTAGGGATGGTAGTTATTGGATCGGAAATAAACAATAATAAATCATCCACATATAAGGAAAGTGTATGTTCCAAACCGCATCTGTGGATTCCTTTACTAAAACTGTCCGATTTAAGTGCAACAGATAAAGGTTCAATCGCCAAGGCGAACAACAACGGGCTCAAAGGACACCCTTGACGGGTTCCTCTGTTAAGTGTGAAATTTTGGGATTTCATACCATTAGTGCTTACAGACGCTTAAGGAGAAGAGTATAAAAGAGCGATCCAAGATACATACTTAGACCCAATGCAGAATCTCATTAAGACCTCCAACAGATAACTCCACTCCACCCTATCGAAAGCTTTCTCCGCATCCAAGGAGACCACCACTTCTGGTGTCCCCCTGGATGCTGGAGAAAAAAGAATGTTGAGGAGGTGGCGAATGTTGGAGAGTGTTGGTTTTTCATAAACCCAGTTTTGTCAAGTGAAATGATACTCGGCATAATTGATTCAAGTCGTAAGGCCATTGCTTTAGCTAAAATCTTATAATCAGCATTTAAAAGAGAAATGGGACGGTAAGAACTACAATCAGGATCTTCTTTACCCGATTTTAGTAATAACTGTTTTTATTTCTAATGCTGGTTTGAACTGTATTTTAATACTGAACTTGTGGTTGTACTGCCATTGCCTGCTGCTGTCAAATATGTTATCTTTGCTGAAGTCAAATTAAATAACTAAAACCTGGTACTCTCCACCAGTCTGTCATTCCTATAAGAAGGTGTCTGAGCTCCACTGAAAGCAGTAAACAGTAGACAGGTAAAAGGAAACACACCGAAGTTGACAAACCCTCTAGTAGTGGTGGAAGAAGTACTTGTATATTTTACTGAAGTAAGTTGGAGAGAATCGGGCCTTTTAAAGAATTACACACACACACACACACACAACCTGCAATGCACTTTGTGACACATTTCTATCAGAAGCAGCATTAACTAATGTAAGCTACAGTGGCTCGTGCAGTATGAACAGCATTAACAGAATGAACAAAGTGAGGTGAATACACTAAACTATATACAGCTATTAAGTTAAGATATTTACAGTATGAACAGATCCTTCTTAAAAACACACTACAAATGACAAAGAAATTATTCAAAACAAGTTTTGCTTTTATTTTGTTTCGACCCCGGCTTTTCCACTGTGTAAATGGGAACCATATCTTTAGCAATATGCAATGTTGTTTGACTGTATCAGTAATAGCTTTCCTCCGGGT